ATTTACATGAACTAAATAAACAAAAACCCTACCAAACTAATGACAACTTTCAAGTGTCCACATAGGCTTATTATTTTTATTGTAATGTGTTAAGGATAGAGCAAACCATATTGCTTCAAACAGCATTGAAGAAGAAAGAAGTTTTAGTTCATGTGTGTACAGATGGCTTTGTTCCTCACCTGCCCAGACTGGAAGAATATAGAAAACCTAGCGGCTCTGTAGGACACCTTGGCCAAGAGTGATGCTAACCAAAACTGGAGAGACCCTGAATGAAAATTACGTGTGTGACTTTTTGTCAAGAGTTCAAATGTCAAATTTATACTCATGCTACATTGAGAGATGGCTTCTAAAGCATGACAAATAGCCTTACCCTTGCTTTTGGCCAACTTTTACGGTGACTCTAATAAAACGGTGCCTTTCTTTCCCTATTAAATATCTTTTGAGGAGTTTAGACTTAATTATTTAGAGTAATGAAGATGAGAAATTAAGAAAACTACCTCTTCTACTGAGGCTGATCAAAAGCTGCACTGTTTAAGAAAGTTCCATCCATAAAGCAGTACTGAGTGTGATGGACAACCTAGACTATCAGGGGAAAAAAATGCAGCCCATCTACTAGACACTTGTAATGCTCATGGACTTAGCTGTCTGTCATCTGACACTTAGGACACCCTTACCAATTCACATCAACAGTGATTTCATTCAACAACAAAAAGACTATTTGGGTACAATTTGTTAACTACTCCAGGATAACACTGATGTAATTTGAAAAAATTTCTGTAAAAATTAGGATTACAAAATTAAGTTACTTATTTCCTTTTCTTGTTACCTAGCACTTAAAAGGTTAAAACTAGCAAGTATCTAGTAAATGAGTTTTTGTTTGTTTGTTTGTTTGGTTTTTCAAGACAGTTTCTCTGTAGCTTTGGAGCCTGTCCTGGAACTCACTCTGTAGACCAGGCTGGCCCTGAACTCAGAGATGTGCCTGCCTCTGCCTCCAGAGTGCTGGGATTAAGGGTGTACACCACCACTCCCGGGCTCTAATAAATATTTTATTTTTTCAAACTCAAAGAAATTCTGACTCTTAAATTATCATCATGGTTAAACCTATCAAACAGTTCTACTAAAACAGTTTATCAAAAAGTTAGTGAAATGATTAGTTTTATATTACAGTATGCAAAAAATATTAGCAGCAACCCAGAAGGTGAATAGAACAATAACAGTTAGAAAAGGAGGAGAAACATACAGATCAACAGTCACTCTCTGGCCTTTGTGTAAAACATTCAGTGTAGATGCACACAAAAGCCAACAATCATCAGGCCATATAGGAGCAATGGGCAGAGAATCACCAGGGACCATGGTGCACATCAAAC